CAGCATAGCCTTTCTTCATCAACGACTGTTCAACATTACTGCATGAAGTCCACTCCATCTTTATCGTATTCAGTACATTCAACGTATTGTGGTAACAGTCATCATGACCACAATATCCACCAAAATAGTAAATATTAGAATGAGAGGTGGTACAAGAGTAGGCAGCTACTCCTAATGGAGGAGTACCTCTTGTTAGGCGAGAGGACCAATCAGCAGTAGAAAGCTGGTACACATCAACTCTTGAGGTCAGTTCCCTCTTTTGAAGGGAGTCATGAACTTTAGGTAAGTCAATCTGGTTCCCTGCCCACAGGTAGAGGGACTCCCCTATTACAGGAGCTTTGTGTTCAGCTCTCATTTTGAAACCTGTAGTAAATGAATAATGATAGAAATGAAGACAATGACTACAGAAGAATAAATAGAAAGAGAAAACATGAAGACAGAGGAGGAGGGAAGATGGTAGGGAGAGATAAACTAACTTTTTCCAGACATCCTCTTCTTGACTTCTTCTAAACATTAAACAAGCCACACCTAACATTCCAACAAATTAATCATCAAAAAGACCACAGCCTCTACTCAGTTTTATTAGTCATCACGTGCAAAAACGTGGTCATACAGCACTGCTCTTGAAAATGAATTAACATCTATACCAATTACATGTATATATGCCTATATGGATGTACATGCATATACATGTTTATCAACCAAATAACTTGTATTCTTATTACATAACCACAGATGGCATTTGATTTAATGACAAAACAAAGTACACTCAGTAAAGCATCATGATTCATGAAAGTGTGTAAATGTGTTCTGGTATTATTAATTCTTGGGATTCTTTTGAGAGTGGGAATAAAGTCATCTGTATCTTGATATCAAGTGATCTTGAGCAATCCTTGTTCTTATAGCAACTGATACTACCACACAATAAATCACCTAATAATAATAATAATAATAATAATAATTCCACTCTCCCTCCGTCTGTCTGTTTTGTTCCCGTGGCCATTGAGTCCCTTGGGACCATTGGTCCTCGCACTGGTGCCTTTCTGAGGAACCTGGGAAGAAGGATCTCCTCCTACACTGGTGACAAGCGTGCAACTGAGTACCTTTTCCAACATCTAGCAGTTGCTGTTCAGAGGGGCAATTCACTGATGCTTCA